AAAAAAAAAAAAACGTTTGGATAAACAAAGATAAAAGTAGGAGAGAGGAAAAAAGAAAAAAGGCAAAGGTAAATAAATGAATAAACGAATAAATGTTGAAGAACCGCAGTATCAATATCAATTGTCTAACGTTCCGGCGGTTACCTTTATGTTATCAAATCTTTCAGAAACCAGTTTAGCAGTTGCTATTCGAACAGCTAACTGAATCTAACTGTCTTTGTTTATAACTATTTCAATAAATATAAAATAAAAAAAAATATACAGATATTAATCGTTATCGTCTTTTTTTGGTAATTATTTCCTTAATATCGCCACGCTTATTGCTGTTGTCGTTACACTTTTCCTGGTGCTACTGCTGCTGCTGCTTCTGCTGCTGCTGCCAATGGTGGTGAGAACGATGACGACGACAGTGGTAGCGACAATGATAAGAATGATTAACTGTCGATGTTTTGAGCAGTAAACTTTTATGATAACTGTATAACTAAGATAGTTTTCAAATCTACAATTTATAAACATTTTTTTTACAGATCAGAAAAAAAAATTTTTTTTTTTTTTATTAATTACTTAAACATTGTTTTATGTCTTTTTTTTTCTAGTACTTTTTTTTGAATAATAAACATTTACCATAGTGAGAAAGAGCTAAACAGTGTAGGAATTAGCAAAATTAAAAAATAGCACCAAAAAAAGAACAAAAAAAAAAAATAAATAAAATATAACAAAAAAAAGAAGAAGAGAAATTTGAAGGCCAGACAAAAAAAAAATTCAAGTATTTATCAGATCAATGTCCATTTTGGCTCTATTAATAGTCTCATAAGTTTAAACCAGCAGTTTCATATCTCTGATAGTCTGTTTTCATGAAAATTTTTCAATTCTTTCACAGATTAGCCAGACAAAATTCAGTGTTTTGCTGCTGCACCACTACAGCTTTTAATTGGCACAGCTAAAGCCAGCTCTGCCATTACCTGTTTGCTACGGTGCCTGGTCCGTTTGTTGTCTGGTCCGCTATATCAGGGTGCCTTCTTCTGCTGTCACATCATCTACTGAACCATCATAACATCATATGTCCGCTTTTCAAAGCTGACAACATTCCTAAAACTTTTCTATTCAAAAAACTTTCTTCCGCAGACTAATTGGTTGTATAATTTTAGCTGGTCGTTCCTCTTCTGCTAAACAAAACAAAAAACAAATTAGGCTGCCTAAATAAATTAGAAGAGACAAAAAAAAAGCAAAGAAATTGAATTAAAGAGCTTTTATATACGCTGGGAAAAAAAAACAGAAGCAATGTTAACATTTTTAATCTTTTTCATTCTGTTTTTTTATCTTTTCTTTTCTTTTGCTCTATGAGACTACTTGACAAGAGTAATTCTTTATATATTTAGTAATTCTCATTCTATATGTCTTTTTTTTTTTTT